CGATGTGGCGGCGTGCAATGTTCCTTGCTAGCACGTTGTCTTCCTGGCTGACAAGAAGCAGCATCCAGTGTTCTCCGTCGTTACGAGCCAGCTATGGCACTCGACTGTTTGATGAAAATGCGACGCTACGCGGATGAAATTGTATATATGTTACGTATAAGTAACATGTAATTTTTATACACATTAAAACAAAGAAAGAGAAACCTATATAATTTCATTTGTGTTTTATATACCGTATTTACACAGTACATGTGTACTGAATTACATATTTACATTGCGCAATAAAAACAATATTGAAATTAATTCTTTTTAATTTAGTTTCATATATACACGTGCACATTATATGCACAGTTTTATCTTCTTAGTTAAACAATTAAAAACAATGTTAAAAAAAAAAAGTAAATTTATGAATTTTTCATATTTATTATTTATTTAAGTCGCCGCATGTGCACACACGCATTTCTTTCTCTCGCCTGCGACGAGAAACGTCGCGTCATGTGGACTCTGCGTAGTGCGATAATCTCATCTATTTAGAGTCTTTGACACCAAGTTTCCAGGTGCTTTTAGCACTCACGGCGGTGCTCTCGTACTTCCGGCCCGCGCAATGGCTTAGGGGGTAGCGTTCTATGATAATTAAGAGGTTGTCTACAAGCTCGGAGGACCCGACAGCTTGTGGGATAAGTGGTCCTAATACATTTATCTATAAGGTGTCCTAAGTTCTTGTGTGGGGAGTACGAGAGCGAGGAGAGAGTGAGAAGAGTTACCTCTCTCTCTCTCTCTCTCTCTCTGTGATATATACTGGAAGCTGCGCAAACTAATATATTCAAATCTCACCTCGTTACTTTTTCATTTATTAATTCAAAGCGGGAATGGTCTGTTTCAAGCACAGATAGACGTCGAGAAAATTCGTCACGTACGTGTTTATTATTATTGTATATCAGATAAAAGTGAGATTGCAGGGTCACAATCCAATCTTAAAACACAAACAAACGTTGTGTGTCAGAACAAAATTTATTGCATTCAATTTGTTAAATCAAGTTTCAGAAGAACACGGTCAAACGGTTCGAATTCTCGACAGTTCGAGTGCTAACCTGATCCAACTTGATAAAAGAGAAGTGGAGGTAGAGCGGAAGTTCGGCGAAGTTACCTAATTCTTTTCGCAGTTTTTACACGTTGTAAATTCCTGTAAAGATCTACCGGTGCTCTCTCTGGATGGGGATGTACAATATATATATATATATATATATATATACAATATATATATGCGAAACAAATAAAATGTCGCGATAACGAGCGAGAATTAAAAACGCGTCTTTTCGGTCTGATAAAATTAACAAAAGAAAGTAATCAAATTTGCAGAGTAATCAAAAAATTAATTTAGAATGTCCACTGATGATGACTCAAATCAATAAAGTCGAAACGTCTGGATATTAATCAAATTGAATATTTTCGCACAACATCCTGCAACTGGTTCGAAAGGTCCTTTTCATACACACCAATTTAAAAAATTAATAATTCTTTTTCGCTTAATTTATTTGTAAAAATAAAATAATTCATCGTGCGTATATATTATCATGTGGATATATTATCCGCAATAATATACACACGTAACGTCATTTATCGCGTTATCGTCGGACACAGCTCAGACAGTGCGTTTAATGTGTCTATTAAACCAAGTATCAGCTCGAGGGTAAAGTCGGCTCATACGCTGCATGAATTTCTCCAGTCTGAAGGCCTCGACAGCTTGCGGGTTAAGTGGTTGTAATACATTCAGCTGGAATGTGGTCCAACTTTCCATCTACACAATGGCTGAGGGATGGGAGAAACGAGAGAGGAAGAGAGACAGAGAGAGAGAAAGAGAGAGAGAGAGAGAGAGAGAGAGAGAGAGAAGGGAGTTGCAGGAGACGGTTGGCTCAGTTCGCCGCTCTTTCGCTTTCTATAGTTCCATATAAACCAACCGCCTTGGTGGTGGATGTGTTTGCGTACGCGGAGACCGTGGAGTATTCGCGCGGAAGGGAGGAACGTCGGGAAAGGACGAGAAGAGTTGATCTTGACGTTAACTATAGGTCTCTCCTAGTCCAGACGTTCCGAGGGAAAAGAAAGAACGCTGTGGAAAGAGAGGAAGAGAGAGAGAGAGGGAGGGAGGGAGGGATGGGAGCCGCGGACACGGCTGAAGAAAGTGCGGGGAAGAAGGAGACCGTGGAAGAAAAGAAGACACCGACAACCCTAGCCAGAGCGCGCCAAGCCAGACTGGACGGCGCTGAGCTCGTCGCCCTCGTAGTAAACAAAGCTGTAACTCTCCTCTCGCACTGAGGAATCAATGCTTCGTACCGTGCTCTTGGGGGAACAAACTCCAAACCCCTCTTCGCATCCATCTTAGTTTTCGTGTGGCTTGCATGTTGATGCATTGGAAAGCAAGCTGCGAGTCGGAAAGATGGTCACTCCAACTTGCTTTCCAAGTAGCTTCTCTGTGTCTTTTTACGTGTTGGACTTGAACTTAATGGCACGCGGATTTTACATTGCCGTGTTTTGTCGAATACCGTGGAGCAAAAGTGTCGACACGTACGTTACGCAAAACAATTAGTTTCTCGTTCACTGTTCGATCGGTGGCATTGAAAATATTTTTAACATCTATTGCAAATATATAAATATATATATATATATATGTGTGTAGGGGTGTGTGTGTATATAAAGAAGCTTTTCTCTCTCTCTCTCTCTTTCTCTCTCGTGTTCAATCTTTTATGCGACTCATTTTCTATGGATCTTTCCAAAGAATTTTGCGAAAGAACGTCGCTCTAAAGATGAGGAAACTTCTCCACTGGTATGAAAAGTATTGTATCAGAAGTGCTTCCGTCATATTCTCTACCGAAGATAAAATATTTCAAAGCAACGGTAGATCAAAAACTTTTCACAAGATTAAAAATTTATTTTCATAAAAGAAATAATTAACTGCAGAGATTAGAGATTACTTTCAAAGTTTCAAAGCAGCGAAAGTGATTTTATAATTCATCAAATTTTTGTTTCAGTAAATATTTATCTGCTGAAACAAAAAATTATTGTTAAATTAAAAGAACGATTAAAAGAAAACGTCGTAATTATAAAATGTGCACGCGGTCAGATTGTAAAAAAATATTTTCGGCAAATTTTCTACCAAATTTCGCGATCGAAAGGAGTCTCGACCGCGCGCGAAGAATACAAGAACGCAATTGATTTCGCTGTCGCGAAAGAAGCAAATGACAAAAATGTCAACTGTGTTTTTCGGTATCCATGCAATTCCGTCGACGCCGGGGATTCCCGCCGAGATTCGTATATCTTTGCGAAGATAACCGCCGACAGTCGCCAGCAAGAGCTGGATAAATGGGGGACGAAAATTCGGTTACGCTCGGAAGACGCGAGAAACGATTACGAAACGATCTTGGTTCCGAGTCAGAAGCTGAACATTTATGTTCGCGAAGACTTATGGCTGTAAGGAGAACTTCGTTCCTTTATTGCTTTAGTGGACTATAAAAAATGTCTTCATTTGAGTATTTAAGAACTTTATTCGTAATATACGTTTAACATCGTTCGGACGAATTGAACGGTCCATGACGCTTTTACGCGTGTGTGTGTGTGTGTGGATTTTTTTTTTTTTATAATAATTTACACTCTCTATGTATATTATATGAAGCGTGGTTGTGTGTATGAATTACGACAACCTTACCTTTTCACGAGCGAATCAACCTTCTTTACTTTCCCACGGCGAGCCCGGGCGTCGCGAGAGCGAGTATATCGCGACGGTTAGTGTCGCGACGCCGAGAGTTATCACGATGGCGCAATATAGCCTGTCTGTACAACGGCGCATTTGCACATTGTGAAAAGAAGCGACTGCGTTGAAGTAACTGCAGCGCGCGCTCCTCCTCCTCTCGCCGGGCGAAAGAACTCAGCTGCCCTTCTTATTTCTCCAGGGACTTTTCGCAGCGAGCGAATGAGAGATCAGAATTTCTCTTTATTCTCTCTCTCTTTTCCTCCCTCTCTCTCTCTCTCTTTCTCTCTCTCTCTGTCTCTCCCCTCGTTTCCCTTTGTTACCTTTCTCTCCGGTCTTCACTTTCTTCGACGTGAATGGGAAAATCGGCTAAATATCTCAGAGCGCACTTCCGGATCCGTTGTCGCGATACTTTCTACTTATCTCCGTCTGGCTACGTTGTCGGAGAGACGGAAAAACTACACACTTGAACGACAATAACAATCAACGCGCCATTCAACGAGCTATGCAAAGCATCTCTTCGGTGGCAAGAAGCATTAGAGGATGTCCCGGTAAGCGGTCATTTAAACGAAACGGTCCGCTTTTCTTCCTCGAGAAACAGAGGAGAGATTTTTGCACAAAAATGAAAATGAACATATAGACAAAAGAATATGAATATATATATATACAAGTAATTTAAAGAAATACTAAACAGAAACTCTATACTTCTGTGCGCGAACAAAAATCTTTTTGGCGTTCGTATGAAACGCGCGTCGTATAAACGCGCGTTATTATATGCGACGCAAATGCCGTCGAGGATTTCCATAAGGAAACGTCCTCTCGGAGCTATTTATCCCGCTATCTACAATCCCGATATCTACAACCGCAGCAGATTTGCAAGATCACTCCGTGCTTGAAGGTTGATCACTGATCATTTGTTTCTCGTTCGCGAATCTTATTTCTGTTTGTTTTTTTTTTTTTTTACGTGCTCCTACGTATTCTTCTCGCTTTGTTATCTCAAGCGTATACACGCATATGGTTCTTTGCAGCGTATAAAATTATATTGCAACAAAAAAACTACGCGCGACATTTAATCTGTCTCCGAGAACGGCACAAAATACGCATCTGCGTAATTTTTTTTTTGTATACAAAGAACAGTATACAGGAGGAAATCGTTCTCCTTTAATAAGAAAGAAAAATTATTTCGACTAATTGATACGCGCGATTATATAGATCTCATTCGCGATATAATATATGCGCGATATTCGTCTCGTTTCAGGTGGCCTGGATGCTTTTCGACAAGAGCGCTATTCTGACGGTACAGAATCACGTTATTACCAGGAACCCCAGAATATCCGTGTCGCACGATAAGCACAGGACCTGGTTCCTACATATCAACGACGTGCACGAGGAGGACAAGGGAAAGTACATGTGCCAGATTAACACTGCCGCCGCCAAAACGCAATATGGCTATCTACACGTTGTAGGTAAGACACTATTTGCGCAAGCATATTGGTTTTTACGCGACATTGAAAATCGCTTTTACCTCGTTCAATGTTTTCCTTCGCAAGTTTGTGTTTGTTTTTGTGTGTGTTTTTTTTGTTTTCCTTTTGTTTCAACGAATATACGTTATATAGAAGAGGTCTTGGAGCAATTCTTGACGACGCCGATTGATCACCGATTACAAGTATAAAACCCGCTCCCGGGGTCAGAAAAACTAAATTTTCTTGTGTGTAAATGTACATTATTTAAAAAAAAAAAACAAATACGCACAATTCGAATTCCGACTGTTTATTTACGTTCTTCTATTGTCTTCGAGAAAAAAGATTATCTCATACATTCCACGTTAATTCAGCGAGTGCCATTAGTAGAGAACATGTCTCGATCGATTGCTATTTACGGCCTTATCGTATCGCACTGTGAACCCATTAGACGCTCCGAATAAATCTCATTTCGCGTAATGGAGTCAGCTTACCACGGCGAAGTTTATATGAAACGGAGCATAAGTATTTTATCGCGGACTATATCTCTAAACGGAGAATTAATGCTTAGAAAGCGAAAGTATATATTTATCTCTTTCTCTATAATTCTCTCTCTCTCTCTCTCTCTTTCTTCATCTCTTCGTTCGCTAATCTGCGGGAGCAACAGAGCCGTAATAATTTCATCAGAAGAGAATATCAATAAGGCCCTGAGACGGTCGTCTCTCTGCCAGCCGAGAGAACATATTAATATCTCGAGTTTTGACATCTCGGCTGCAGCGGACCGTTCAAGCGGAGAGAAACGATACCGGGGATGAGAGAGGGATAGATGCGTCGGTGGAGTAATCAGTGGGCTAGATTAATTGTTTCCACGGGACTCTTGCCCTTCACGGCACAAACACACGCAAGATTTCCTCTCGCTGCTCTCTCTCTCTCTCTCTCTCTTTCAATGTCTCTCTCTCTCTCTCTCTCATTCTCTTTCGACACTTCGTGATAATGCCGATAGAGCCGACACAATGGCGATCTGCTATGACTACATTGCGCGTAACAAGCTCCGCCAATCCATTTAGGTATTATCTGTCTCTACGTTTGCCGCGTAGTACGAGATAATCTCGTGATTTTTGCACAGAAGAGAGCAGTTTGCTGATTGAAGTTCTTCTTTTAAAAAGAGATATGTGATTCTGCGAATTTCATTAGAGATTGAGATTTCAAGGAGAGTGTATACGTAGTCTTTTATTTTTTTTTCATGAAATATATCAAGCTCAGAACCTTCTCTCTGAAAATATATGTTTTAATTATATTTTACATTTCACTTGTCGGATAGTAGATCTGATCTTTATTGTAAATTAATTTAACAACGAGGTTGCTGACTTATTAATCGAATAAAGTAAAAAAAAGAATAAAGAGAAGCAGCGGCAAATCTGGAAGCAGACACGCAATGATGATTTTTTCAAATGTCTTTTTTTTTTAAATAATCCGAAATAATCTGTGTTGTGTACATATCCGAGATCTAATTAAATTGATATTGCAATAATTCGTATTGGGAAAACCACGTTTGTGTTTCGATCGCAAATGTAATGTCGCACACATTCAAGTCTTGTCCTGTATCTTTCTCGACTAATTTGCGCCCATTATCACGACTATGTGCATTATGTAGAATGTTGTGTATACAGCGCATCGCAGTCAGGAGAGGCATATCTATTGTATATTATAGGATCCGATGTTAGAGCTCGACGTTAGATTCCCTAAGGGCATGCCGTATTTAGCGACGTTCGCAGTTTACCGAATGACTTCATTTGCTCGGTGAAATTCGATAAAATCATCCTGGTATTCCTCTTTTGAATGTAACTATTCTGGGAGATAATACAGTAACGTCATTTAATACAGTAACAAGATAATACATGTATGTATTTTTGTAAAAAATTTTGTACATGTACGTTCTCGGAAAATAAAACGAAAACTAAAAACCATACGCGGCAGCGCGCGCGCGCGTTTGCCTTCAAGATTCCGCCGCGAACTGGTGAGCATCGCTGAACGATCTCTCTCCTCCGGCGTTTCTCGAACGTTGTGTTGGCGGAGTTTAGGACAAGTTAACGCACAACAGCGCGGCAACACGCGCGCGGCAGAGGCGGCGTTTGCGCTTGAATAATGCATCAACAGACCGTTACGCGGCTGCAGTATAACGGCGCAGAAGGGTGGCGAGAGGGTGAGAGAGAGAGAGAGAGAGAGAGAGAAAGTAGAACGCGCGCCCCGCGCGCGCGTTCAATCTGCCCTTGTTCAACAATTCGGTAACACCCCGCATTAGCATTAATGCAGGATATCGGCGGACACCTGCGGTAATTCATAGGATTGGCCGCACTCCCTTGTCGACCACGCGGCTGTTAACAGACAAAAGGTCGAATTTTCTTTTTTCGCAGAGATTTACCGTAAAAAATCGGAAGGAAAACTTCAATCTATCATCCAAATGAATTTTCAATGACGAATTTAAAGTAGGTAGGATGATGTAGAAAACAAACATTATACTTAATTTTAGTGGTTTTTTTTTTAATCATATTGTTTTGTTTTATATTCTCCTCCCCACGGCCGATTTGCAACAGAGCAAATTGTGTCGAAGCGAGATTCTATGTTCGCCATAATTCGCAATACGCACGGAGGAACGCGTGAGAAACAATTTAGTAAAAATGCGTCATATCGATATACTATGCACATGTATATACATATGTATATACATATGTATATTATATACATATATATATATATGCGAATATGTTGCAAAAATTGCAATATTCTACGGAGTTAATTTCCATCATCGAGAAAATGGTCGAAGCAAAGTATTTCATTCAATTACGCCACTTTCAATTTATGAAATTGTAACGTAGATATATATATACAATATGTATACGTATATAAAATATTTCTTTCTCACATATATATGCATATATTCGGAATTCACCAATCGAGATAACTTTTAATTTCCTCTGAATATACATGTATTGCTTTTATGGTACATACGTACACATTGTGTAAAATCCAATTAGAATAACTTAAATTAAATTAAATTTTTAGTATCTATTAAGGGTTGAAAAAACAAAAGAAAGCTCATTTTGAACGTTTGTGTATTTGAAAATGAGAAGATATAGATTCGAATATATCGCATCTATATTATTGCCTCTTTTCCGCATTGCCGATTGGTTGCCGGTTGGTTGATCGAGTCGAGTCGAGTCGAGTCGAATCGAATTGGTAAGATCGAGAAAGTAAATAATGACAGAAAGGTGATTTTGACAGTTCGTCATATACGTGGAGAAAATTAAAAATGTGACTAAGGTAAAGTCACGTGACAGGAAAGAGTAGAAAAGCAACACGTGACTAAACTAACGTGATTGTACTTTATATTATTATATAACATTAAATAATATATATTATTATACATATAATTTATTATATATTTATAATATTATACTTTATATTGTATATTATATATATTATATACATACTACAGTAAGGTCACTGACCTCGGTCGCACGACCTTGGCGGAGTCACTGACCTCAATCGCGCGACCGCGGCGGAGTCACTGACTTTGGTCACGTGATTACGGTATATATATATATATATGTGTGTGTGTGTGTGTGTATTATATATAAATATAGAATATTATATATAATATATATAATATTCTCTTTTACTCTTTTCTCTGTCACGTAACTTTTGTTACGTGTTGTTTTTCCACTCCTCTCTCTCACTATTTTTTTAATTTTGATTTTCATACGTTATTTCTGATCTTTTTCTAATATGTATTATATGATTTGTAAGACGTATATACTAGCTGTCGCGGTGACAGGTTGTGTTCACTGACATGTTAAATAAAAACGTTAAATAAACACGTTAAATAAAAATAATAATAGCGTGCGCGTAGCGCGCGTCTGTGTTCTACCAGAAAAAGCATGTGTAATTGATTGTTGTCGTTTTTATCTTGACGCTGATTTGACGTTTCCCGGATGTTTCTCGATTCATGTCGTACGAATCAAGAGGCATGGTACTGTCTCGCGCCGTTCCAGCGCGACTTCATTGCGCGTGTCTTTAAAAACGTAACTAAAATAAAGTCACGTGACTTTAGTTTTTCACTTCTCGCTTACACTATTTTTTTATTTTGATTTTCAACATGCCGTATTTCTGATATTTCTTTAATGTATATTATATGGTTTGTAAGACGTATATACTAGCTATCATCGCAGTGACAGGTTGTGTTTACTGACACTACACGTTAAAATAAAAAGAATAATAGCGTGCGCGTAGCGCCTGTGTTGTGCTGGTATATTATAAACTAGACGAGATAAACCATTTATTGTCGCGCAGCAATTTGTAAAACAAAATAATAATAAATTAAATGCAATTTTACAAATTCATTTTTTTGGGGGACGATGTATACATATGTCATAGAAATCGAAAGTGTTAAATAATGTGTATGTTTAACTTGCAGTGCTACACGAATAGTATTTTTATTATTTAATTCTTTATTCTATATCAAAGTCGCGATATATAACGATTGATGAATTAATTCGCGCGGAGAAGAAGAGAGTCATTTGATATTTGTATATCGTACTTCTATTTAAGCAGCAATAAATATATATATATTTAAACGTGCTCTCAAACCAACCAACTTGCATTTTTAAATTTGATCAATGTCGACGTTGCAGACGACGTATGTCTGTGTACTAATATTATTCGTTACCACGTCAACGACAACGTCAATGAATTATTCGTCACTCTCTTTCTCGCTCCCGTGCGCGCCTAGACGCGCGTTCGGCCACTTAATTCGAGGGCACCGACGACGCGGTCAATATTACGCAAATGTGAAATGTGCGATGATATTGCTGTCACCGTGAAATCAAATAAAGTTATCAATACTACGCTGATCCGTCAGTGATTTATAACATTTTGATCTTTTGTACGCTTAAAACGCGGTTCATATAGCATTTATGACGAGCGTAGGTGCGCGCGACATTTTGAAGAAATTAACACAATTTGAGAAAGAGAAACATACTCGTTTCCACACAATAAATACGATATGTTGCAAAATTATTTTATTAAAAAACAAAAAAAAAATTACAAATCGGAATCGCGATCTCTTTACGATGCAAAATTTAGCTTCTAACGTGACTTACGTGATCGAATTTCTCAATACGATTCTGGATTGAACGGTTTTTCTCGCGCCACGTCGGCAAGATTTTTAATCAGTTATCACGTTAACGCGCGTGGGTTTTCTTCGTTTCATCTCGGTGTTAAGACGGTTTAGTAATTGTCGAAGGAAAAGAAGGAAACGCGACGTTGGAATCTGTCAGGGGCATGCAAAATAGCGGGGAAACTGGAAATCTCAACGGCGGAAACGTGGTCTGCTCCGTTGCTTCCGCTCGCGGGGTTAAAATGGGACAAAACTTTGTCGGTGCCGCTCGCTCCGCCAGTCCACCAGAACATTTCTCTTACAGCGGAGAAGGCGCTTCTTATCATTAGTGATTACGAGTTTTTCACGGACTTTTTTTCGTTTTTTCTTCTTCATTCCGCCTTATCTACGCGTCACTGTTGTCCGCTGTTCCTGTTTAGCTCTCGACTTTTTCAAATTTACAAATGAAAGTCCTTCCTCGGCTCTGTGACTCGCGAGTTGAGTTTTATTTCTTCGTGTAATCGACATTGTGTGTTTGCTCCTTCCGTATGATGATTACTTAAATTTCGAATTAATCGTAGTAATCACACGACAATAAATTCGAATACTGTCGTTAAAATAATTCGCAAACTCGAATATTCGTGTTTATTGTTTTACAGTGCCGCCGAACATCGACGATTCGCAAAGCTCGTCGGACGCGATCGTTCGCGAGGGCGCGAATGTGACTCTCACCTGCAAAGCGACCGGCAGCCCGAAACCCAACATACGTTGGCGAAGAGACGACAATTCCAAGATATCGATCAACAAAACTGTGTCTGGTATGTAACTTAATAACAAAATGTGCAAACTCTTTTGCACATCCCGCAATTTTTAACGTAAATGGGATAAAAATATACACGCCGATGTGTGATATGAAAAACTAGAAATAATTAATTGATGAAATTGAGATGATATTGTATTTGTAACAAAACAAAACCGATTTCAGTTCAGGAATGGGAAGGCGAAACACTGGAAATGTTGCGGATATCGAGACTGGACATGGGTGCATATTTATGCATCGCCAGCAACGGCATACCGCCGTCAGTCAGCAAGCAAATTAAAGTGTCGGTTGACTGTAAGTATAACTTTTTTTTCTATTTTGCAATACTACAAAAAATATCACATGTTATTCCTGGGTAATTAAAAAAAAATCATAACTGTTTTTATTTTTATTTTTTTTTTTTTTGTACAATATGTCGTGCAATATAAATATCGCACGACGTGTATGCGAAATTCATGTGTGATATCGAACGAGAATAAAGAATTGGAGGAAAAATCGCGTAATTAGATTTCGACGAACCAGATTTCTCTCGCGAAAGTAAAGGTACTACTGAGCGCAAATGTGGTATAAGCTGCCACTACGGCTATAAGGTGGCTTCTAAGTGGTGACTGTGGCGGTACTACGTGTAGTACGCGTTGCTCGGAAAGAGGTTCAACAATATACAATTTAATAACATAGAAAGGAAACCGACGACAAGGCAGCAAGCTTTGCTGAGTCTTTTGCCTCTTTCTCTCTGTATCTCTCTCTCTCTCTCTCTCTTTCTCTCTTGCCTAGAGGCAGCTTCTCGCCGTACTAAAATAAGCGTACAAGTGAACGAGAGCAAGAGAGAGAGAGAGAGAGAGGGAGAAAGAAAGTAACAGACGAACATAGAGAGAAGTATAGGAGCGAGAGACGGGGTGAGAGACAGCACAAGGAGAGAAAAGCGGTGAAAAGGGGCGTTGAAAGTCACTATCGCATGTGTGCGAGTGTGAAAGAGGTACACAGAAGGGTTTCCCCCGGTGAGACATAAAAGTAAGCTCGGGCGAACCGCGACACACCATTACCGTTTCCACCCCTGTACTTGCCTATTGTTACGTTACTGCTGCTCCTAAATACCGGGCACGTGCCTTTCCTCGTCGTCGCTTCTCTATGACATGTTTCCTCACCGCGACACACGTTTTGCTTTTCGTTTCCGCATCCGGTGGGATCGCCGTTCATCCACACACACGCGTATATACAATCGAAGTGGATTTCCTTTGCCCCCCGTGTCCACTCTTTTCTTTTTACAAATTTATCTAAACGATTGTGTTGCGGCGAAGATTCGCCGCAAATTGCTCGAGACAAATGTGAAAATTATACAATTTGTCTTTTCGCCGATTTGACTCGTAAACTAAATGTAAATGAGAAAAGGAAACACGCATAAAAATACTACGATAAAAAAGAAAAAAAAAAAAAAGAGATTAACGATTTTCTCGCCATGTTATTCCATCTTGAAGAAAGCTCTCCGTGATATTTAATTATTAATTATCCGTAAAGTAAAATTGCATCCGCCTTTTAAGTCGACTACAAAGAGATAGCGTGGGGTGAGGAAAACGGAAGTTTGCCGGGGCTTATGCAAAACATAATCTTCGTATTCTTAAGACGGTGGCTCCCTTCGAGTTGCCACATAAGGATCCAAACCCGAGAGAACCGCGCGGCGCACGAGAGATTTCGCGAAAACAAACAGGAAAACAAAATGAGGATTCATCCACATGTATATATATATATATATATATATATATATATATATGTATGTATACATAAACCAAGACTAATTAATTTGACAGCGTTAGAGAAAGATGGGTCGTATAATTTCGTGTGATTTGAAGATGAGACGCTATTTCCGTAGGAGCGACAAAGGAGGCGAATGTATTTACGCAATTCTCGACTCGGATACCGCCGCGGATTATCCTTTTAGGCGTCCTTTTAATTCCATTTGCAACCGCGTAAATGGCAAAGGCTTTTGTCAACGAGTATTACCTTGAGCTCTTTTGAAGTTAAATTACGATCGAGTAATGCAATAGTTTTGTTCGCGATAAGTCTCGCTATCATCGTCGACACGAATGCGCATAAGAGATTGACAAAAGCTATTGCTTCGTGCACGGCGTGTAGCGCAATTTGCGATTTGTTTGTTTCCGAAAAACGTATCTTCTACTTGTTTTCTTAAAACGTTTTCTACTAAAATATTTTTTTACAAAGTAAACATGAAAGCTGATCAAGCAACGTTAATTGTCAGGTCTGTAAAATTACGCGCAAATTAGAATCATCGAGTTTTTTCATCGCGCAAGCGCGTCTAACAAATTCGCACTAATGATCGATGTTAAAAAGATCAACGGCTGATATTTTTTAAATTACAAAAAGTACGGTTATTATTGTGCGACATGCAATATTTACTTAGTTTTTATCAACGACGATACACTTTTGTATTTCATATCTGATTTCACTCGCTCGTATTCAGGAGGGACAATATTGACTCTTTCATTGACCCATGGCTATTTCATACAACTCGTTTCCGTATCATATCGAAATATTCTGCTGATATGTAATATTGGTAAGAATTTCACTCGCACTAAAAAAACTTGCTCCAGTGCGCATGTACACACACGTGCGCGCGCGCGCGCGCACGCACAGGTGAATCTTCGTGAGTTCACATATTTCCCGTACATTCGGAAAATAATAAATTTCTTTTAAATAGTAGTAGGAATTGTTATCGATATAATTTATAATTTATTCACATATATCTCACACTCTCTGTAAGAGAAATAAAATTCTGACGCGCAACTTTTAATGAGAATGAAAATATTTTACATTGTTTTACATATGTTTTGTATGTGTGTACGCGCGCGCCATATACACGTCAGTTTATACGTTATTGATGGTGTGTGTACGTGTTTTTAAAATTTTTTTTATTATTAATTTTATTACTAGATTATAACAATACATTTCTAAGCGTTTCAGAGAAGAACGCGTAGTGCAACCGAAAGATAAAGCGCGTAACACTTGGCGAATTTTTACGCGTTCAAGTGAGGATTAATTAAAAGGTCGGACAGATTACAGGAAGAGAGAGAGAGAGGGGGAGAGTCATCTATCGAGACCCCCGTAGTCTGATGATATTACAAGATTTAGAGCTTGAAAAAACTTGTGTGTACGCGTTCTCCGCCTGCGTTTCATCCCCTCCCATTTATGTGCGTCGACAACGTTCGTGGCGTTCGCGGTATATAATATATTGTAATGTAATATGTTGTATATATCTGATAATTATAGAGTTATCGTCGAACGCAGTTATCGTTACGCGTCTGCAAACGTCTCGTGAAATATTTTCATTCTCGACTCTGTATTGTGTCAATGCGATTGAATTTGTGACGACGCATTTGTTTGCCGGCAAATATAATTTCAGTAAACACAATTGTTACTCTCTTGTTACTGGTATTAATATAGTCACCAGAAACGTAAACACACGCACACACCGGTATCGTTGACACAATTATTAATACCTTGACAAGTGTTGATATTCAGAGAATATATGTTTATAGTTATAGATAGACTTTATATTACGCGCCGCGTATGTACAATTATATTTGCAAAGTTACGAAAATGACAAAACACATGTCCCGTTCGCTCCATTGAACAATATACTTTTTTGCCGATATACTTTTTTGGTTTTTTTTTTTTTTAATCCCACAAGTTTTCCACACTGTTCGCGTTTATTTGAGTTGCTTAGATTTTCCGTTCGACGTTGCGAATAACGATCGAGCGTGACTGGGTTTTTTACGATAATCGCGACGACTTACGTATGCGCACTTCAATTTTCCACGAAAATATGAAACGATATGCGCGCGTATCTCTCTCTATCTCTCTCTCTCTCTCTCTCTCTCTCTCTCTCTTTCTCTCTCTCTCTCTCTCTCTCTTTCTTGTCAAAGAATATAATTTTCGACTCTCATTAGATAGCGCGCGAATTTAGGATGATAAAGTCGCCATTTCCGACTCGGACAGACAGACTTGTTGATGAAGGAGAGAAAGTCGAAATTACGTGTAGCGCGTTCTGCATAAATTTCCATTAAGAAATGCGAGTATGTAAACTAGAATTTTTGAATAAAATTGCCGAGAAACGCGCGTTCAACCTTTGATTTCTTTCTTTTTTCTTGTTTTTTCTGCCAAATTTAATGACAACATTTTCATTAACTCTTATTTGCTAAAACATCGCGAGTTAACTTTTTGCAGTTAACGTTAAAAAGAGTTAACATTTAAAACCTAATTCCCTCAAATGTGTGTGTAACATATCACTTACCTTCCCGACTTTATTTGTTATATAATATTTATTTGTGCTATAAATTTCGAGAAATATATTATTTGCAAAGAATGTTGTTTCTCTGAAAATCAAAAAGGCGTCTACGACTTCTCGTCGAATAATTTCGGGGTTTACCAGGGTGTGTGCGAACAAATGACTCGATCTATATTCTCAATAAACGGGAGTGCACGGATAAAAACCATTTAAACACCAAGTACACGTAGCGCAGAAACTCGATGCAATTCGTCACGAGTCGTGCTAATTTTATTTATCACTCTTACCGTCACCGCGCGCGCGCGCGAAGATGTTTTCTGAGAAAAGGAAGCGGCATGGGGGGCGAAATGAGGTTGCAGGTCACGAAAGAATCGTTTTAATTTATTCGAACGTGTCCGTCGTTCGCGTAGGCGGGTATAGGTATCGCATTTGGAGAGAATGTAACGGCGAAACATTGCAGAGAATGCGAGGGGGAGGAGGTGTTATATCGGAGGTGGCGGCGACGGCGTCGTCGTTGCCGTAGTCACGTATAAGCAGTGACTCAGAGACACGACCCTTCTCTTTCTCGTTTCTCTCCTTGTCCCTCGGGCACCGACGCTAACATCCCTGCGTCCTCTCTCTCTCTCTCTCTCCTCTCTCCCGGTAGCTTCCAGTAGCAATCTGTTATTAAAATCAGCAACGAGAAAAATCCGTGCCGTATCTCTGCGGGACGCAACGGAGCGAAGCGCGCGCGGGCGCGCAACGACAGACGTGTTACGGCAAAAATTAAGCCACCTGCAAACTCAGAAACGGAATTACGTAAAGATGACCCCCCTCTTCTTCCTCATCGTTACCCGCCGCGATGCTTAAAAGTCTTGTTGGAAAATGCTCGCAGCAAACCATGCGGATCGTGTTGCACCGTTAATAATAACTTTCGTGCAATCATAAAAATTTTCGTGAAAATTCAGTGTTTTCTCTTGTATTTTTTTCACAATTTTTTTAAGCGATAAATATC